GTTTTCTTCTTCTTCATCATCAAGTTGTCACCATCTTCATGGTTGATCTTGATTTGCTCTTAGGGTGTTTTTTCTTGCTCAACTTGTGGCTTTGGTTGAGGCTCTTCTTGTTGCTTCACCACTTGCTTGGTTGGGCAGATAGAGGTGAGATGACCCCATGTGCGGCACTTGAAGCACTTGATATGCTTTAGCCTCTCTTCTTCTTTCTTCAACTTGAGCTTCTCTTCATTGGGACAACCATTAGCAAGATAACCCACTTCATGGCATTTGAAGCACATGAAATGAGATAGCCTCTCTTGTTCTTACTTCTTCATCATTCTTTCTCTTTTTCTTTCCCCCTTTGTCATGCTCTTGTTGAATCCAATGCCACTCTTGTCACCAAAGTTTCTGAGTCTTCATCATGTGCTCAAAGGTGACTTTTGAGTTGTAGCATCTCTATAATTTGTTGCTCAAATTCTTTACTTTATTTTTAGCTCATTGTTCTCCTTCAAAAGGTTAGTCTCACAAGACATAGAAGTAGAACAAGCATCTAATTGTGAAAAATATGGCATTTCTAATAAATCATCACAAGAGGTGGATACATGCTTCTTCCCTACATCACAAGAGTTAGTCACATGTTGTAATTGATCACTTGACTCATGTGATGAGCTCTCATTCTTTTTAAGTTTCTTTGAAAATATTTTAATGAGAGAAGCATGTTGTTCTAATAATTCTCTATGAGATGCAAGTAGTGTCTCATGAGTCAATTTTAGCTCACCATGTGAAGATTTAAGAACATCAAGTAAGTGCTTATGTTCTTCACATGAGTTCTTTAGAAATGAGTTTTCATTTTCCAATTTCAATGTTTTAGCTTTCTCATTTTCTAAAGTCATGGTCATGCTAGCAAGTCTACTAACAAGCTCATCATATGAATCAACAAGATCAACCACATTAGCATTTTGTACCTTTGTGTCACCTTGAGACAAGAAGCAATGTGATGTAGTTGGAGAGCTTGTAGTATCAATGTCATCCGGGCATGATCCATCATCATTATCATCAAGTGTGTATGGAGTAGCATCATCATTGGCATCACTTGAGGCATCATCATTAATCTTGTCAAGTGAACTTGTAGTGGATCGATCATCATCATCACTTGACCATGAGGTGGAGCAATCTTCCACAATCACCAAATCGTAGTCCTCAACACACTCATGCACCTCCTCCTTAGGCTCCTCCTTCTTGAACTTTCCATCATCCCATGTGGAGGAATCACCAAACGTGTGCTTGATTGATTCCCATATCTCACGAGTGGTTCCCACATAGTTTATCCTTTTCATCAAATCAAAGCTCAAAGCATCCATTAGATAACAACAAGCATGTGCATCAAGTTCAAAGAGAACCAATTGAGCTTTGGTTAGATTTCTATGGTCCAAGACGTGAGTGAGACCACTAGTGACAATCCACCAAAACTTAGGTTCCTTTGCATGAAAATGATCAAGCATGTGATTTTTCCAATGTACAAAGTTTGTGCCATAAAAAATATATGTCTCACAATCATCTAGCCCACTGGACGTCATCCTCTCGCCATCCTATCGCCGTTGCCAATTATACCAAAATCTAGTGTATGCTCCCCACGGAGGTAATGAGCATTCACTAGCAGAGCTATCAGTTTCAACGATGGAGTGAAGAATGTCATCAATACTGCTGTACAAATGGGCTGCACTAGCAAGCCCAATGCTCCGCCGAACTCCCTGGGCAATTGAGGCTGCGGCCATAAAAACTTCAGGGCGTATATATGCACCTGGCCCTATCGGAACACAATACGAGCACAGCCATGCAGAAATAAAAGCGGCCAGTAGCTGAACACAGGTGTACCCTTTTCTAAACTTCATAAGTTTATCCGAAAAATAAAGACAAAAGGGCATCCTTCCCCATTACCTCCTACACGGAAATTCAATGCCTTCAGTAAAGGATCTTCATGTGACGCATAATAAGAAGATGGAAGAGGAATGTGTTGCTGGCCTTCCAGATGCTCTGAATCTTCTAGGAAATAATCCACCCAATCTGTTATTAGAACAGGCCGTCAAACACTATCCGGATTCTTCTCGTTATTACGCCAACTTAATTTGGCATAAGCCTTGAAAAGTTCTCGAGCCACCTTGTCGTTCACGTTGTCCTCTGGAGCATATTCATCATAAACTCGGCCTGATATAGGGATACCCATTGCTTCCTGAATAACCATTAAAGGATAGCCCATTTCACCTTGTGCAGTAACAAGAGTATGGCCGTCAGAATTCCAGAAAGAAATAAAAGCTTGGATCAACGCCAGGACAAATTAACCCGGTATATGCAAGCCAATACGCCTTTCAGGATGCCTGCCTGGTCAAGGCGATTTCTCTCGTACTCGGATATTAACATGGCTCGAGCCCATAATAAAAATTTCGGGCTTGATGGAACACCAGTACAAAGGTGAGGATCAACGTCATGCCACCACACCTTATAAGGATGTTTCAGGAATTCTTGCGCAGCCGTGGAAACATGCATGTGGGCGCGGTACCCCATTATCATCAGGAAAGCCCTCGAGTGTTGGCTCCAAAGTAATGAAGATCTTCTTCTCCGGGTTCGACTCTTGATCAAAACGAGCAACGAGCCGACGACGTGGCATCGTCAGTGCAAGCGGCGGCGTCGCGAGAAGTTGAGGTGGATTCACAATCGCCCCAGCTCCAATGAGTAGCTTTGGTGTTCTCAACAGGCCATCAAGCCCCAGTGAAGAAGTGAGGCACAAATTCACATCTTCCAAATAGGTGCTCTGACCTAGCACCGGAGAATTAGCTAAGTCTGCGATATCGCATTGTGGCTCATATTCATCCCGCCACATGTTGCATCCATCCTTATGAGGATCCTGGCTTTCCTGCAGAAAGTAAAATAATTACGTACTAATCAGCAAACGTATTCATGCAGCAAATATATATAAAAAGAAAATGGCGCTCACTAAGGAGAAAGCGAGTATGCGTGCTCACCTCCATCACAGGGTCTGTGTTCCAGTCATAACCCTCATTAGCATCGGGGCTCTCGTGCTCACCTCCTGCAGAAAGTAAAAGCGTCATCATGCCTTTTGCTAGATTGTTTCCGCTCAGATATGTTGTGGTCGTCACGACCCTCAACAGGACGGCGCACATCTCCACGCTGCACACGATGATCAGGGTGACAGCGATCTCGACGAGCAGGCTCGTTCGCACCGGTCGGCTCATACAAGTTGTGTTCATAGCGGCTTAGTGAACGACTATGGCGGTAGTCATTGTGTCGCCACTCAGATTGACGATAAGCACGATCATGATGAGCCGGTGATCGCCTACGGCGACAGGGTGCCAGGTGAATTGGCCCCTCGACCAGGCTCCTCATGATCAGATGGCAACAGCAAGTAATGGAAACGCAATGGCGCATGTATTCTGGGAGAGTATTTATAACCCAACGGAGATAAGATAAGTATATAGCCCAACAAACAGATCCGATCGATGAAGCTGCTGTTAGCTTCTGTTAGGCGTGGTTTGTTTAGATTTCTCCCGTGAGATAATCGGTTCAACAACCATAAAATATCTGCTGGGAAAATACGACCTTGCCGGAGGTACAGTTGGCCAGAGATGTAAAAGAAAAGGAGAAGTTGTTAATAAGTCTAGTTGCGCCAAGTCGAGTCCCTGCTCTTTCCTCGCATTTGTATGATGAAATTTTGGCATATCATAATTATTATATGTATTCTTAGAGAAAGAGGAAATTTCATAAGATAATGCTATGTATGAGCTATATATTATAAGAATATTTTTGGGCTGCAAGAGGCAGATTAAATAGTGCAAAGGTTTGATGAATCAAAGTGGGTTTCACCGTATATGACTCATGAATGAATGGCCCAGCAAATACTCTCCCACGTGAGGCTTGCCGAGAGCACAGGCCCATGATTAGCTTTTAAATAAAATAATCGGAGGATGTTCTAGAAGCTCCTAGCACTTGTTTAGCTAGAATTAGTTTCTATAGCACTTTCGGGCGGCGACAATTATTGTTAATCATGGTCTAACTAGGCGCCCGGCGCGTAATTTACAATCAAACTATATAATCAGCATTTAATACATGTATCAAAGATTTGATGTGATGAAAAAGAGTGAAAAAACAAACGTGCGGAAGTGACGCCACCGCCTCCAAGATCGACGATGAAGCTTCTAGAAAGCTCACGCATACACGTCGGCATATCTAGTTGGACCCATCAGTCATCTAGCAAGGTAAATTAAAGGTAAATTAAATCGTAGCTCCAAGGATCAATTCAGGCCGCGTTTAGTTGGGAAATTCATCAGCAGCGCACTGTAGTTTTTCATGCTGGATTACCAAAACGAGATACAACCAAAGCAACATTTAGCTCCACCGAAGATATCTCCTTTTTGCATAGGATCAATTCATTCGTTCAAAATTCTAATAGGCCGCTTGCCGCTCGGAAGACGTAAATTCAAAATTTGAAATACGGCACCGCCCGCGCGCCCGTGCGTCTCGGCCGCGCGACGCCGACGCTCCTCCGCAACAGATCGATGGCGGCGCATCCTGGGCACCGCCTCAAGCCTGCGCTACCCTAGCTCTGGCCTATAAAAGGAGAACACTTCCTCCCTCTCAACACACACCATCTCCATCGCCAACAGGCCGCCGCTCCGCCGCCACGCTGCACACACCACACCTCCATCCATCGCCGCCCGGCTGCACGCACGCCGCCGCCTAGCACATACAACGTATCTCCGGCAAGCCGAACGTCTACAGCATCGTTTCGAGCTCGTCCACATCATCTCTGGCGAGCCGAGCGTCTACAGTCGGCGTCCGGCCCTCGACATCAACGAGGCCATGGCTGCTCACTTCGAAGGTGAAATTCTTTATGTATTCTGATCGGTTTTTCTCATCTGTGCATGGCTGTGGCGTAGATACATATGTGGAGATCATGCACTTGAATCCACGGCCAGCAGGTGAGCCCCGTCGGCGCCAGAACGGCGATGGCGCCGGCAACCATCTCGACGGCGGCGAACCATATGCCAAAAGATTGGCCATGTATTGCACCAGTGGCGGCGACTACGCCCGGCACATCCTACGACGGCCAGACGGTGAAGGCGTACGTGCGGCGGCTCGGCAACACGGCGTCTCCACGACGAGCGCGGCAGCCTGGCGAACGTGCAGTTTCGGCACCTACAGCAGCGGCGAACATGCAAATCCCCGGCATGGTGATCCACGGCCGTGGCAAATACGGCTCGACAAGGCGCCAGTCAACAGTGACTCCGGCGATGGCCACCGCGGCGGCGGAGCGGTGCGGCCCGGCAACGCCTCTTTGCCTTAGCAAGTTGGGCCTTGTTGGCCCAGGAACACCACCAGTGTACAAGCACCAGAAGCTAGCTAAGTGCGAGAACGAGTGTATACATGTACAGTATATACGGCAAGAAAGCAAATGCAAGGCTAAGGCTACAGCAACGTACATATATGTTCGCCTCATCGACCTCTCTGCCCATTCACGCCACGGGCTCAAGAAGGCCCGAAACCCATTTTGGGTACAAAGCCTACGAATAATTCTAAGTCATGAGAAAGCGCTTGAGTTCACGCGCATATATGAATTGGCAGGCGACAAAGTGTCACGCCAATAATCTTAAGAAATTCACGCACGGAAAAATCTCCTGAGTATCTCATGAGCATAAGTCTCACAATTATCACACCACCTTCCCGCACCGGCCCATATGAAGGCTCCGTTCGCTTCGCTGAAAAAACATGTCGAAACACGGTTCCGGCTGATTTGTTGTGAGAGAAAAATACTGTTCCGGCTGAAAAAACAAGCTGAAAAGTACGGATTATAAGAGAAACGAACAGGGCCGAAGTCATTTTCTTCCCCCGACCGACGAGGCTGGGGCGTTTCTTTTCCGTGACCGACGAAGCCAGAATTATTTGTTCGCGACCGACAAGGCCGAACACTTGACTTCATTATGGGATCCGCACGACGAGGCGGATACCTTTGCTAGAGACCGATGAGGCTCTAGCGCTTCACCATTTTCATTCATTTGTGCTTATGCATATATTTGGAGACAACTCTTATTTATTTGGAGACGGCAATGATGACCATCGGCATAGCTTAATCGGAGGTGTTCTGCGGTCCAAAGCTTTGGATGTAATTAACTGGAGGCCTCTAGAGGCCCTAGGAACCAGAAGCCACACAATCCTCTGATTGTTAGATGGAGCTCGGCGCAAATATTTATTAAAGTGGGAAATTGTACTTTATAATTATCCATTGAATGAATAAAGTGATGTGTCCCTGAAATTTGTCCCTCGTGTTTTATTGCACATTTACTTTATTTTGTATACGGATGTATCACTGTTTGGGAGGCCGTAAACAATCGTGGATTATTTACTACTGGCTAGTTTGGTGCGAGAGAAAAATATTGTTCTAACTGAAAATTTACGATCGTTTACGACAAGTGAACAAACTGTATACTGGCATGCGTGTGCTTATTAGTACTAGGTAGTACGATCTGCGAAACACAGAGATCCCCTTAGTGATTTTTTTCTAGCGAAACACCAGGATTGACGCTCACCGCCGTCGTCCTCCGATGACGACACCGTGGGCGACTCCGACGAGTACAACGACCCTGACTGGCTCGATGGTGGTAACCGCGGCTGCAGCTGCACCACTGCCTGCCCGCCGCGATTCGGGCCTGCCGACGGTAATTCGGCCGGGGCCGGTGGTGGCGGCCAGCCGAGGCTGGGCCCGGGGTGGGGACCCACATTCCGCTCCGCCACGTCAGTACAGATTGGAGATTTCAATTGCGCGGTCTCGCCAACGGACGGGGCACCGAATGGGGGAAATCAGGAAACGGAGGAGGAAATTCCAAATCGGGGAGCAGCGGGCGGATCCTGCGCCTCTGGACATGGAGCGGGATAGAGCAGTCCTGGACCCTCGGACTCCCAGCTGTGGTCGGTCTCCGCACCAGACGCCACGCTCCCATGGGCCTATCGAGGATTGGGCTGGGCCAGGTTCCAATGCTGGGGATCCAAGCCAAGGGTGTTGGGATTGTCGCTGAGCAAGTTGGGCCGGATGCACCGATAACCCAAGTTGCTTCGCCGGTTGCCGGATCACTTACAGTCACGCAGCCATCCTCGCCGGTTGTTCATGCGTTCTGGCCAGTCGATCCTAGACTTCATCGCGTCCCTCAAATTACCGCTGCAGGAGTGCCTCGTCACCTCTCCTCCACGTCTACGCAGATCACGTCAAGACGACTCCGTGCTCGTGCCAAGGCGGAGCTACCGGCCCAAACCCTGAAAAGCAGGCGAAATGGGTCCTCGACAACAAGTGGCAGCACCGGGCACCAAACGCTTCGCAGTGTACTCCCGATGTCTCCATCGCGACTAAGTTCCATGAGACGTTCACCGAGCCGCTGTCCTCCTCCAACCGTGCGCCCGTGCGAGAGCTCTTCCCGTATGCGAGGGCGCGTAGGGGTAGGTCGGCATTAGCGTGCCAGTGTCTCCGTAGTGTGCTTGAAAGCTTTTTGGTCACACATTTAGTTTCTTAGTTAGTCACAACAGCGTGCGTTCCACCGTCTAGCGGTGTCTTTTGTTTGTGTTCAATTCCATTACTAATGGCATCTCGCCGTGATGTGATGACGGGCGTGTAAGCTTTCTAACCTCTTCTTAATGATTCAGCCGGCCTTTGCATGGACGTCGACAACGTCGACGCAGCTCCGTTGTGAACTTGTGATTCGCTGAATCGGCGGCCGGCTGCCGGACGTTGGGGGCGCAACCTGTGCAAACGCAACGGCCTGGCCCTGGGGGGTCGTTGTTCGAGGACTTTTGTGATTGCCCTCCCCCCTCCTGCTCGGCTGATCGATTGATGAGGCAGGCGTTGGACTATCGGCATCTCCCAACATATATAAGGGAACCTCCTCCTGGATGGTTGTTGGATGTGCATGTTGTTAGTTGATCTCCACCGGCCTATTGGGCCCTTGGATCTATGCCCTGATCGGGGGCGCCCAACCCTAATATGGTTGGTTGGCCCCTGTCGCACAACACTATAAAGAGAGGTGGGGATCAGGGCTCCAACTACGAGGTTGACCAGAGCCGACGTGACCCACCAATAGAAAACCTAACCCGATCTAAAGAGGGTGCTGCCAGCGACGGGAAGACCCACTGACTTCGCCGCCACCAACCTCACCGTCGCCTCTGCCTCGCCACTGGACCTCGCCACCACTACGCTGGACTCCACTACGCCGAGCTGCCATGACACCGGCGTCCAAGCCGCTACGGCGCCATGGACCGAATGATGACCTAGGGCGAGGTACATCAACAGTTTCCCCATCTAAGTAAGATGCTTACCCCTGATCTACGTTTCAGAGACACTATGTTTACCAACAATGGTACCAGAGCCAGGTTAACAGTGTGTAGATCTAGTATGGGGTAGAGAATTGAAAAGAAATCGAAGAGGAATAGAGGGTTTGATCCTGTTCGGATTGAAACCCTTACCCTAACCGGGTAAAAGAGAATGAAAAGAGATCGGGGAAGTGGCGGGCGTCACTCAACTATCGATCACCACCGCCACCGCGCGGGGAAAGGTGCTGCACCGCCGTCTTCACTGGCGCGCGGCAAGAAAAGATCAGAGGGTTCAATCGAACCCAAACCGAAAGAAAAATGAATCGGGTTAATCCTAACCCTAACGAAATCCTAACCCTAACCCTAATCCCCAATCGGCAAAGAACCAAGAAGAACACAGCAAGATCTACAGACAGAGAAGGGGAAAGGGCATGGGAGGTGGCTCGCCGGTACCTAACCCTAATCGGGTGAAGCACAGAGAAGAGAAACGGTGTCGGTTTTGGAAAGGATCTCAAAGCCGAACCCTAACCCGCGAATCAGTCTCGGAGAAGAACAACAGTGAACCAAACCCTAATCCCCAAATCGGACAAATCCGAGAAGAAAAGAATGGAAAATCAAATTGGAGAAGAAGAAGGGGAAAGGGGAAGAGTCCTACCTCGCCATGCACCACGCAGCCGCCTCGTCGGTGCGTGAGAAGAAGCCGCCGCTGCCGCTAGGGCACGACACCCACTGGCGCGGCTGCTGCGAGGCCTCTAGCGTAGGGCGCCGCGGCCAGGCCACTCGACGGCGGCGTGCTCACCCACTGGGGAGCGCGCACGCCGGCGAGGAGGCCGGCGATGACGCCATGGCTCTGCCGTCATCGCTCGCTCTCGCTCGGTGTTGACTCGGCATGAGAGAGCGAAGAGAGAGAAAGGAGAGGAGGAAATGAGGTTCTAGGGTTTGGGGAGGCAGGCCGGGCGGGGGGTGGAGTTTTTGTTCACCCTATCGGCGTGCTCGACCGTCCGATCGGAACGGACGGGCGATGATGACAGGGCTAGCTTATGGCCCAGGCGGAGCGGTGCGGGGCGCGCACGTGTGGGCCGATTTCCTGTCCTAGGCCCAGGTTGTGGCCTGGGCGTGGGGACCACGCGGCGCGCGTGGCTGCTAGGCCGGAGTTTCGCGCTAGGCCACGCTGTGCAACCGGGCCGCACACTGTTGCTGCTGGGCCGGTACCGTAGCTGCAGGCCAGGCCACAATGAACAGTAAATAAAGTTTCAAGTTTATGTAATTTTCAGAAGCAGATTTCGATAAATTTAGTTTAATATCTCTGTTAAAATTTGAACCAACGGGATAATTTTTCATAGAATAGTTGAGAAAAGTTTAATGCTTCTAAAAAATAGATAATGAATTTTTCATGTTTCCGCTGCTAAAGAAATTATTTATTCTCCAGTTATTTTGAACCAACGTGATATTTCAACAACAACAACAAAGCCTTTAAGTCCCAAACAAGTTGGGGTAGGTTAGAGTTGAAACCCAGCAGAAGCAATCAAGGTTCAGGCACGTGAATAGCTATTTTTAAGCACTCCTATCTAAGGCTAAGTCTTTCGGTATATTCCATCCTTTCAAGTCTCTTTTTTCGCCTCTACCCAAGTCAACTTCGGTCTTCCTCTGCCTCTCTTCACGTTACTATCCTGGCTAATCAACGTGATATTTAATTGGAGAAAAAGAGATTTTGATATGATTATGATGTTGTTATTTTCTAACCAACGTTGTTAATAACAATATCGTAATTTTAATGATTTTATGCATTAATTCTATTTCTGCCCAACGGTGATATAGAATGAGTGTATAAGAACAGTTGTATGTTTTAATTTTGACAAACGTTGGAATCAAGGCATGCAATTGTTGTTATTATTTATGTTCTCACTCTATATGAATTGTGTTGCCAGGCGGATACAACTTGATGGGTTGTATCAAAGAGATCCCCACTCTCAAAGGTGACAACTATACGGAGTGAAAAGAAAAAGATTGACCTGGCCTTTATCTTGGCTGAGGTGGACTGGGTAGTCACCTCATCGTGTCCCACTGAGCCTGTGGCACCGGTGAGGGAGAAAAACGAGGTTGATGCCGCTTGGGAAACTAAAGAGAGGGATTTTGAATCCCAAAAAATGTCCTATGACCTTGAGCATAGGAAGTGGGTCATTACCAACAAGAAATATTTGGTTGTGATAAAGAACACGATTGAGCCTGCAATTATAGGCTCAATCCCAGAGTATGACACGGTCACCGAGTACCTCGATAGAATAAAGAGTCA